AAGTAAAGGCAAGGAAAACATTGAAAATCTAGGCTGGTGTTCCCAAATACAGATTTTAAGGCCCTTTTGCTGAAGATTCAAATGTAGTTTAAGTGAAAGTTTACAGTTCAAGTTAGTCTCTCATACAAGAATTTATGCATACATTGTTGTGTGACCGTAATTGCTCTCCTTATACTGTGACAGCACACTCCTTTCTACCTCTGATTTCCCGTGTCCATTCAACAAGCTCCTAACCTTCTTTGCCTTCTCATCTGGCCTCCAGACAGAAGCTGCCCATTTAGTCTTATGTATCTACTTGAGCTAAGAAGCACACTCTTCATGAGGATCATTTTATGTCCCACAGTCCAGTCCAATCTTTGTCTGATGAGTTGGCCTCGGGAATGGTTTTAGTTCTGGGTTGACAGAGAGTCCAGGGGCCATGCTTTCTGGGATTCCTTCAGTCTCAGACCATTAAGTCTGGTCTTTTTACTAGAGTTTGAGTTCTGCATCCCACCCTTCCCCTGCTCCATCAGGGACTCTGTCGTGTTCCCTGTCAGGGCGGTCATTGGTGGTAGCCGGCACCATCCAGTTCTTCTGGTCTCAGGCTGATGAAGTCTCTAGTCTGTTGTGGTTTTGTTTTTTATTTTTTGAATTGTGATAAAATATATGTAACAAATTGTGCCATCTTAACCATTTTTAAGTGTACGATTCAGTCACATTAAATACATTTGCCATGTTGTATTACCAGTCACCACTACCCATTTCCAGAAGTTTTACATCACCCAAACAGAAACTCAGTACTCCTTCAGCAATAATTCCCATTCTGTCCTCCTCCCAGCCCCTGGTAACCACTAATACACTTTTGTCTCTATGTATTTGCCTAATCTAGAGATTTCCTTATCTGAAATACATAGAGCAGATACATAGAGACAAAAGTGTATTAGTGGGATCAAACAACATTTATCTTTTTATGTCTAACTTATTTAACTTAGCATAGTGTTTTCAAGGTTCATCCATGTCATAGCATGTATCAGAATTTCATTTCTCTTTATGGCTGAATAATATTTCATTGTATGTATATACCACATTTTATTTAACCATTCATCTGTTGATGACACTTGTTGCCATGTTTTGACTATTGTGAATAGTGGTGCAGTGAACACTGGTGCACAAGTATCTGTGTCTTTTGGGTATATACCTCAGAGGGGAATTGCTGGCTCATATGGTAATTCTTTAACTTTTTGAAGAACTGCCCTTCCACAGCAGCTGCACCATTTTACATTCCCACCAGCAATGCATGAGGATTCCAGTTTCTCTGCCTTCTCAAAGCTTGTTAGTTTCCCTTTTTCTGATAATTGCCATCCTAGTGGGTGTGAAGTGGTATCTCTTCTTTAGTTTTTATTTGCATTTCTCTGATGACCTTAAGCTTCCTTTCGTGTGCTTATTGGCCATTTATATATCTTTGGAGAAATGTCTATTCAAGTGAAGATTCTGTTTTAGAGATTTTAACAGGCAACCAGATTGCTTCTTTTCATTTGTGTTTGGGAAGTGCTAGACTAGGCAAAGAAAACATAAGGAATGAAGAAATGTCCTGCTTATTACTCCAAAAACTATATGATAAATGTATTAATTTCCTGTGGCTTCTGTAAACTTGATGGCTTAAAACAACAGAAATTTATTCTCTCACAGTTCTGGAGACCAGAAGTCCTAGATTGGTATCACTGGGCCATGCTCCCTGTGGAGAATCTAGGAAAGAATTTGTTCCTTGCCTATTCCAGCCTCTGTTGGCTGCGAGCATTCCTTGGCTTGTGGCCACATGACTCCAGTCTCTGCCTCAGTGGTCACATTGCCTGCTCCTTTTTTGTCTGTGTTTTATCTCTCTGTGTCTTCCTCTTATAAGAATGCATTTAATCCAGGGTAACCTCCCTATCTCGAGATCCTTAATCACATCTGCAGTTTCTTTTTGCCATATAAAATAACATTCACAGGTTCCAGGGATTCGGGTGTGGCTATCTTCTGGTCTTTATTCAGCCTACCACAATGAACATCTTAAAGGTGGCCTGAATGTGAGTTAAGGTAAAAAAGGAAACACATTTCTCAAACTAGAATTAAGAAAAGGAGTTGGAGAAGGGGTAGGAAAGACAGCATGAAGACCTGATAAGACTTAGTAACCAAACCCACTGCCATCCAGTCTTCCAACTCATAGACCCTATAGGACAGTGTAGAACTGCCCCAGAGGGTTTCCTAGGAGCGGCTGGTGGGATTGAACTGTAAACCTTTTTGATTAGCAGCCCTGGTAGCATTTAACCACTACGCCAACTTAATAGAAGTAGGGAGGAAAAAAAAATCCACTCCTCCCTTAGGTTCCAAAGACCAGTGTTAAGTGAAACACTAGCAATTTTCTGACCCAGCCCTCCCAGCTGGGTGGCCGTGGCCCCTCTGTACCTGTGGCGGTCAGGGGCTAGCCCTCGATCTGCTCGCCAGAATCCGAATCCATGCGGCAGGCTGCTGGCCGGCCTTCCTCAGCCGCCCAGAGTCCCAGCTCGGGTTCCAAGGTGCACCTTGCACTGAAGCGGAGTGGCCTCAGCCAGGGAGTGCCTCCACAGAAGCGAGCACCACCCACCACCCGTTCTTGGTGCCTGCCACCAGGTGGCTGTGTGTGAGGCCAGCTGAGGGGCAGGGGGGAGCTGGAGTGTTGGGCACCGAGTGGGTTCAAGAAAACCAAAACCAAACCCGTTTCCGGTTGAGTCAATTCCAACTCATAGCGACCCTGTAGGACAGTAGAATTGCCCCATAGGGTTTCCAAGGAGCACCTGTCGATTTGAACTGCTTACCTTTTGGTTAGCAGCCGTTGCTCTTAACCACTATGCCACCTGGGTTTCTGTGGGTTCAAGACTGAGGTTAAAAACCCCGGGGAATGCCCACCTCCTCCCTCCAACCCCTGGACAAGCTGCCTGTGAGGTTGTTAATAAACGAAATAGCTGGATAGTTGATCTTTTACTACTGTGGTAAATTCAAAATGTCAGATGACAAGATAGTTGGTAAGTTTCCAGTATTGCAAAGGCAACGAGATGAATGGATAATGAACAATAAAACTGACTTGTAATTCAAGGCAGCTTTCAATTTCTTTTATCAGATAATTGGCTACCTGTTGCACTGAATACAATAACAACTTTTTGAACATAGTTTATAGTTTTAAATGTTTTTAAGTTTATAGTATAAACTTTTTAAAATATTACTGATTAAAATTAATATGAACTTACTAAAGTTATCAAAAGTTTTATTAAAGGCCATCATAAATAGTATCACAGCAACTCAAACTGATTACTTTCTTCTTTGAATCTTGAATTGGATTTTATGTAATGGTGTTCATTTCTAAAACTTTATATAGACCCAATAGTGCAAGATAGAGTGAATATAAATTGCTCTTTTTTCATTACTACTAATATTTAACAATTCCATTTACGGAGAAACTTCACAAAATTAATCTTTGAATAAATCAAAAGATTTTTGTTTAAAAAGTAAGCTTTCTGCTTACTTGTTCCCTATTTGTAAAAGTAATACATGCATATTGTGGAAAATTGGGATAATACAGGAATGTATGAAAAAGAAAATCCACTGCTGTTCATATTTTGATGTATTTCTTATGAGTTTTTTTTGGTATGCATTTTAAAAAATACATTTGTGATCATAGAGTATCTTAGTCAGGGTTCTCTAGAGAAGCAGAACCAGTGATATATCTAAATATATATATAGAGAGGTAGAGATTGATGGATTGATTTACTTCAAGGAATTGGCTCTTGGGATTGTGGAGGGCTAGCAAGTCCCAAATCCATAGGTCTGGCTACAGGCTGCAAACTCCTGCAGGCTTGGGCCCCCAAAATGTCTGTTTATAGTCGAGGCTGAACACACCCTAGGGAAACTCTCTTTTTGCTCTTAAGGTCTTCAACTGATTATTTGAGGTCCCCTTACACCATGGAATGTAATCAGTCTGCTTTACTTGAGGCCAGCTGATTTAATCCCATAGTTGTAACAGCAACTAATCAGTGTTCGATCAGACAGCTGGGCACCATAGCAGTTTGATGCATAAAATTAACCATCACATAGAATATAAATAATTTTGCCTCCACATTTTTTAACTTACATTGTAATTGAAATTTGACAGTTTAACACAGTACTAATGACTAGATGAGATTCCTGAATCTTGAGTTTTCAACTAGAGTATTTGAAACTGTCTAGATAAATAGACTTTCAGTATTTTATATCTTTGCAGCCAGCTAAGACTTTATTTTCTCTTTCAGTGTATTTTACTCTTTTGTAAGTCTCCAAATTACCCAAACATGTTACAAGATTTATAGAAATTTAAGAATTATAAGAATTACTATTATGATAAACATTATAAGTGGAAAAAAATCTTCTCATTGACGAGTAAATAGAAGCACCAAATAGAGTATATATCCAATTCTTCAAATATATTGTCGCTTATAGAGTAAAATGTGAAATTTAATCATATCATAGGAGTTATTTATTATTTACTATATGTTGACATTGTTACTAGAACTTTACACATGTTATATGTTCAGTGATATTTAATAATTTTATTTTATATTTCTGATTTAAAGTAAGCAGTAGAGTTCAAATTATTTGCTAATATTCCTTTATTACTTTCCTTGTTCTTAAAGGTAGACATGCTCCTTAGTTTTAGAACACTTGAATTTTAATCAGCTACCTTTTTAGAAAATAATTCACTTTTTGTTTTAAACTGTAATGAATCATGGTTAGCTCAATGATTCATACAAAGCAAGTATAATTGAATGACATAGAATGAAAATTGGTTAAGATAATAGCCTTACCCAAAGCACCCAAAATATATATGTAGAATAAATGAACATAAGTACTTTTTAGGTTGAAGATTCTTTTATTTATTTATTTGCATTATCTTATTATCTGGGAGAAGAATGAAATTATGTAAAAGCACGGAGAAAATTTTCATTAAGGTATTGTTGATTTTCTTTTTCTAGCTTAAAGCAATAAATGTAGATCTTCAAAGTGATGCTGCTCTGCAGGTGGACATTTCTGATGCTCTTAGTGAGAGGGATAAAGTAAAATTCACCGTTCACACAAAGGTAAGTGTGATTTTGTGCTTTAGATTATTTTAGCCATTTATTGTGCTAATATTTGTTGGCTCGAACTTTGGTTTTGAACATAATTAGAAACAGTATATTTTAGTTTATAATTCACTGCTATTTTAACAAAAAAAGTATTGGAAAAGTATACTTTTTAAAGATGAACATTGTAAGAATTAATCATAGAACCTAGACATAATGCAAATTTAATTTCCTCTGTATTTTTATTAGTATCTTTTACCATTCTCATCATTTTCAGTTTTTGTTGTCTTCCTTCAATTAATCAAATTACTGTTTTCCAAACCCTTCTTTTTAGATGTCACTTTTCAGGCACATGTTTAGATTTCAGATCTAGTTTCCTTTGCTTGAATAGTTGAGTTTGATATTTATTGATAGGATAACTTAAAATAATGGTAGCAGTACAGTATAGTAAGAGCCTGTCAATTTGTTTTCCCAAAGATCCCAAGATAATTTTGTCTAGATGTTTTAGGGTTTTCAATAGTAGAGTTTAAAGATACTCATATTCTTTCATATAGAGACTAATTTTAAAAAATAAAGTATAAAATGTTGATTAAAAGCTTTAGTGTAATTTTGATTTTTATTCAAGGGAATCTCTTTTCTTTGTAGAGTTCATTGCCAAATTTTAAACAAAATGAGTTTTCTGTTGTTCGACAACATGAGGAATTTATCTGGCTTCATGATTCCTTCATTGAAAATGAAGACTATGCAGGTTACATTGTAAGTATTAAGGTTCCATTTTAATCCCACTTTCTGGAAGCTTTTTAGATACTTCATTATGTATTGAAATCTTGTTTAGTATTTTTAGTGAACTGATGTAATTTTTTTTAATTGCTAATTACAAAATATTGTGGACTATCACCTTTTATCCTGAGTTGTCTTGTTTGGGAATATGGAGATATATTATGCTCCCTCACTGAAACTTAAATTCTTAGAATTGGAATGGGCTTGTCCTAGGGATTAAGGGGAAGTTAGAAACCATACTGATTTTGAACCTGTATGTGAGCAGATACTTAGAGTTGGAAGGCTCCTTAGAGATTTTCTAATCTAAACGTGCACCGGATATTGTAGTCAAGAATAGGTGGCTGTCCTGCCTCAGCTGTGGACTGCACTTGAATTCATGAAATTTGGTTTCTTTTGATTTCCTTGAAATCATCCTGACCTGATTCCATCTCTATCCTTGTAGTCACTCTTTTTCAGTCATTTGCTGCTTTTTCTTTCTGCTGCTCAGATTTTGGTGAACCACCGGAAGTATATTCTTCTCTTCCCATTCTTTTTCCACCTTCCTGTCTGATGGCACTTTGTTACTACCTTCTCCTTCTGTAGACTAAATGCTTTTCAGACTAACACCATATCTTATTTATCTTTGTATGCACAGTGCTCAGAGTCATGTCTCGCACCTAGTAGATACCAGTGAATGTATGCTGAACTATACTGATGCTTTCTTCCCTATTGCTTTCTTTATTATAACCTTTTTCTTGTAATCATTCTTATTTTGACTTTTCCCCTACTTACCTTTTTTCCTTACTGTCTTTACATTCCATCGTTTTCGTCTTAACAAGTCTCACTTGTAGTCCCTTCCTCCTAAGATAAATCTTTTTCTTATATCCTTTCCTTGAATAATAGATTTCTTCCAGATCTTGTATTTTTATTTAAGATAAGTGCTTACTTACTCCCTTACAGTGGTAATGAGGTTACTCATTAACCTGTGTCTTGTTTTCTTCTTTTTAAGGCAGGTCTTTCTTCTGGTATACTCCTCCAATGCAGGACCCTTTTCAGTACCCCTTGCTGGTATTCTTTAATTGGCTATTCAGTAATTTAAATTAATTAATTAAGTATTCATTAATTTAAAAAAAATACACAATAGCATAAAGCTACTATGAATTCATTAAAAAAATACATCAGTATTTAATCATAACATACATACTTTAGGAAAATGGTACACATATTTGATGGACATATTCATTCAGTCTATGTCAGAGCTTTGTGCACATATGTGTTTGAGGACTCTAAGTTGTCACACAGATTGAAGTTTGGGAATTATTGTTGTAATACCAGAAAGTAGTGCTGTATTTCTTCATTGATGTAAAGGACCTCAAGGATCTTAATAATTTCTAGGATTAGTTAAATTCTCTAGCCTGATTTTAGATATTCCTGGCGTCCAGTTCATCCAGATGCCTTTAGCTTGCCCAGACATAGCCTTTTATGATGGCGGTAGTACAGCTGCTACAGAAAAGGACATAATAATGATTTGGCTGTGTTGTAGATCCCACCGGCACCACCAAGACCTGACTTTGATGCTTCAAGGGAAAAACTACAGAAGCTTGGAGAAGGAGAAGGGTCAATGACAAAGGAAGAATTCACGAAGATGAAACAGGAACTAGAAGCGTATGTGATTTGTTATTGTTGCTTTGGTTAATTGTGCTTGTTTAATGCCTTTTTTTTTTTTGGTATGTGTGTGCTCTCTGATATCCCATCCCTTTAATCATTTCATCATAGTGACCCTTTCGGGAAGATGCAGGTTTAAGCCACACAACCATGTTAATGATCATGATCAGGGCCTACAGGAAAATTATAGGATAATTGTCGGCATTGTAAGATTTCTTTACATTAATATTTAAATAAACTCTGAAATTTGAAAACAAGACAATTCAAGAGTTTACAAAAAGTTGTAGAAAGGGAAACATGACTTTTTAAAGCAGAATGTAAAATAAAGTTTGTTTTTTATTTACAAGACCTTAGTCATTACCAACTTAGTTCTCTTTGTTCACTATGTGCATACTACTAAAACTTCTATTTCTTATGGAAGTGTGCACTGAGGAACTCTGCATATGTTCTGTTTTCTTTAAAAAAAAAAAAAAAAAACTCTCTCTCTCTCATTCTCCCTCTCTCTCTCTCTGTCAGCTCT